CAACTACTGCCTCTACAGCCATGGGGCTGCTTCCTCCCACATACCACACTTCTGTATTACTCTTTCAGCCCCTCACTTCCTGCAGGAGAGTTTTGGAGCTGACTAATCCTCCAAGAGGCTAAATCGTTTCCTAACAGCCCTTAGAACTGATGTGAAAGCAAGGCAGGCAACCAGCTGCACTTCTAATCCCCTCTTTTGCCTTTATCCCAAGGCATCGCTTCTCTAGTTTGATCCAGTTCTGACAGGAGCTGGTGATACTTCCCTCTGTGCCCTCCCTTGGCTACTTGTAGTGAGGCAACCAGAACAGTTTTACACCCTGTTTTGGGCCTTTCCGTCTTCCACCTCTAAGCAGTGAGACAGTTAAACCATAGCATCTAATTTTACAGCAGAAACAGGCCAAGCAACAGCTGAGTCCCAAAGACAAGCACGTAGAAGGGGGAACAAATTGCATGAGTCAGACTAAAAGCTTCATAAATATTGACCGGTTTTAATAGTCCCCTGAGGGACAGAGAATCTCATTTCATAACAACTGCATCTCCCTCCCCATTATGCACTCCCTCTCTCAGGAAACTGCAAGGGGGACTATTCTCTGGCTTATGTGCACATTATTTTAATTCCTTTCTGCAGTCAAGAAGTTCTGTCAGAGAGTTTGCACAACATTCATCAGCAGAGTATCTGAGCGCCTTCCAGTGGTGCTTTGAATAATGGGACTGGAGTGGGTTTTGTTCTCTCAGGTATACCCCAGGGTAGAAGTGATAAAGGCAGAGAGAAATCAGATATTAAATGCATAAGGGATCAGGCAGACGAGAACAGGGTGGTTTTTCAGCATTCCTTGCTTTGATTTCTATCAGGTGAAAAGCATTTTTAGAAACATGGAGGGGCAGATAGACACAATAAGAATGCAGACAGGAGAAAAAAGGCTGTTAGGTCCTACAACAGTGGTAAGGGCAAGAAAGGATTGTCAAAGAAAAGAGAAGAGACCTGACTGCAGAGTAGGGAGACAGTTGCTTGGGCATTTGAATGGATGGGGAGGATAAAAGTCCCTGATGGGATACAGGAGTGCACTGAATCACTGGGAAGGAGTTAGTCCAGGCCAGGGAGCAGGACAGCTGCCGCTTTCCTGAAAGCAAGTGCTCCGAGGGGAGCTCCCCTTTCCTGCTTGCTATGAGCTTCCAAACACCTCCCCTCTTTACTAGGGAGGTTAAGCCCACTATATACCTTTCCCTCTACCAGACTTGTCCCCCTACTCTTTTTCAAATTCATTTATCATTTCCCCATCCTTGTCTTATACTTAGAAGTGCTCTAAGAAAGAAAACAATACATAAAAGGAGACTCCTGTCTCATGATACAGCATAAAAATCTACCTCCATCAGCTGGTGCTATCTGGTTTCAGTTGAGTTCCATCCTTAGTGCAGAGGCTGCAGGACAGAGTTAAAAACATATTCCCTCATCCCTAAGAAAAGGTTCTTTCCTGCTAGATCCTCCACAGCAGGTTGTTTGCTTTAGGATTCAAATAGCAGCTAAACAGAGACTATTAAACAAAGTAAAGCCCATGAGTGCTGCTGAGGCTCACCTGAGATACATGCTGCATGCAATTTTGTCCAGAGCTTCCTGAGAGCAAATGAAGCAGAGACATATATCCTCCTTGTTTTCAAACCCAAGACATATATCACACAGTAGTCTGGAAGCCTGTCACTCCAAACTGGCTATGGAAAGTAATCCCTCCAGGTTCTCCTGCCTTCAGCAGCTCAACATTGCCTCCTACATCTTACAAGTTGCCTGATAAACATGTTGACTTCTTACCTGAAGTTTACTCTGAAGCACTAAATGTCACTGTTCTGGGGTAAACCAAGGTTAGGTTATTTAGGAATTACATCTCTTCTAGAGGCTGTCTCATCTTCATTAAACAATACAACTCATACTGACTTCAAAGAAATTTGATTTTCATAACATTCCTAAGTCTTTACTGACCCAAGATCTGTTAAAGTACCTCACTTGCAAGGGGCAGAGAAAGACAACAGTGCATAAAGAGAGCTGAATATATTGTCAGAGAGCAGTTGGCCTAGGCTACACAGTAACACAGCTAACACAGCAGGGCCCTCCCCAGCCAGGGTCCCACCTCACAGTACCTGAGCAAGGTGAGGGCAGGCCAGGCTTGATGAAGATCCCAGATCCTCAGGAAAGTTTGTGTGATGATGCAGGTCTGAGGTCAAGGAGGGAAGTCAATCCACAGGTCAGGATCAGGCCTGTGGATAATAACCATGGTCAGAGATCACCAGGCAGGTTCACAGTGATGAGACAGGTCTGAGGCCAAGCCAGGAAGTCAGCCTGCAGATCAGAGTCCAGATTAGCACAGTCCATAGCCAGGCATAGCTGTAGCTGAGCTGAAAATCAGCACTCCTACAACATAGCCTAGGAAGGGAACATAGGCCCAGGGCTGAGCTTAAATGAGGCTCCTGAACCTATGGGCAGAGGATGTGGGTGAAGGTCCCAGGTGATGCTGGTCAGGACCATTAAGGCTTGCTAGTGCCCTCAGAGACCTAACACATACAATCACCTCTCAGACTCAAGAGCTGCTGCAGCTGAGCTTAGTGGCATACAACCTTCTTAAACGGAGTCTTCCTTGTTCCTAACCTCCAGATTCATTGCTTTTGTCCAGCCTTGTCAATTTTCCAGTCTGATATCATAAATAGTACCTGAAGTTTGCATGAGTTTATGAGAAGAGAACTTCTACACGAAGCTAGATTAGAACCACAGAAGTTAGAGATGGAGCTCTGATTTTTAGCTTCTGGTTATTTATGAGCAGGTGGTCAGTGGATGATGTACAAGACATTATCACCAAGTGAAGCAATAGTGAAAATATGGTGATTATGTTGTTTTTCTATTGAGATTAAAATATGTAAGAAAAATAAAGTGTAGTAATTTTCCCACTGACTGGACGAATAGGTTAAAGCAAAGACTTTTTCCACGTGGGAGTGTTGCAGGAGCCCATCACTGAAAATCATCCATCTCATAACTGCAACAAATGGAAAAAGTCCACTTGCATCAGATACCTGTTCATTCTCTTGCTCAGAGAATTCCCTACACAGCATCCAGTAGTCTCCCTTCTAGTAAGGAAAAGTAGAAGGTCATCCCTCACTTTAACCAGAGCCCTCATTTGAAAGGATTGGCAATATTATATATGCAAGTTGCTGTGGGGGCTGAACCACCCTTTTGGGAGCAGTGACCCAGAACTGGAGTTACTCTGCAGCGAAAGAAAATCTCAAGGAGTAGCTCATTTTTCTGCAAGATCCTACAATAGCCCATGATGCCTCACAGCCAATGGTACAAAAAACTGGTCAGAGATTTGATAGATTCTGCATGGACTTCTGTGAGAGAGGAAAATCTACCGTCTCTATCAACGCAAAGCTAATTCCACAGCAGATCTCAAGACAGACTGGTAGGGACCTGGAAAACCGTTTAATATCATGCAAAACTGGGCGTGACCTTACCTCAGAGTTTGGTTTTGAGTCAGAGCTGCTATTACCCAGCCCTGTCCAAGGTGGGCTTAGGGAAATAGATATGGCTGAAAAAGTGTCCCAGATAGGATGTAGGTGTCCTCTTGTCCAAAGAGAACTTTAGAGATTATGAAGAAGGAAAGGGAAGTACTACAGCTGGTTAATCATTGGCTCCCAAGACTGAGAGGAAGGATAAAAATATTTCCTCAGTAGAGAAGTATTCCTTCATGGAAGAATCTCGTTCATTTTCATAGGTGCTTCTTGGAAAAAACTTGATTCCACCCCCCTGCCCCCCATTTTTTAGAAAAAAATAAATATTAAAAGTGATATTAAAAGGCTAGTCATCCTACAGCCATCCTAGATACATAGCAAGTTGTTGGCAGAACTGGGGACCAGAGGCTACAAATCTAAACGTGGAAATGATATTGAGTTAAGACGAAATGCAGGTACCATCAGGTGCAGCTATGTTGGGTAATCTGGCATGATGCGGTGTCAAAAAAGCACATGAGGTGATTCACCAGGAGTGTATGTACAATCAGTGCTTGGCCAAAGTGGAGTACAGATGACTCAGTTCTGCAGATCATGATTGGCAGAAGAAGCAGACGTGAAGAACAAAGTTTAGCACTGTTATTATTACAGCTTTTCTCTTGGTGAGGTTTTAATAGCAGGCTAGTAGCAGGTCCGTGATCCATAGAGATGGACAGGCAATAAATAGTAGAGCCAAACCAAGATGTTGCATCCCTAGAACAGGCATGGAATATGTGCAACATGCCTCAATACTTTTTTCTAAACTAAAGAAACATGGCCGTTCAATCAGAACTGTTTCTGACCATCATTGCTTTTTTTTTTCCCCTGGACAAAACTGGAGGTAGTTGCCCATCCTTGATGTGTTCCATATCTGCTGCCAAATCTGAACTCCCCCACTCAGACACAATCTCAAAATAGGGTGTGATGCTTTTCACGCTGACAAAGCTGTAAGTCACTGTGAAGGAGACATACTCCATATCCTCCAATTAGTTAAATGAAAACAGCTCTGCCCCTTTGCTTCCCACCATCTCAGCACTCATTCCATCTCATGTTAATTAATATAGGCACTAGCAAGTGTGATGAAAAATTACAAAAACCCATTAACCTGATTCTGTCCAAACCAGTGATGTATGGCAACTTGTACATTAGACAAAATCTTCCTTGCTGATGTGGGAGTCCTCTTATCAGAACTCCATTAAAACAATAGTCTTGAAAAAATATTTTAATATATCTATATATGGAATGTATATCGATGTGCATGGACAGTGCATGCCTGTGGGAACATCAGAATTCATTAGGTCAGGCTGATATGAGATATATTGAACAGGTTCCATCTGACGTCTATTACTGGGTTGTTCTGTCCACTCCCAAAGGAGTGAATCATATTGACAGGTTGAATTATATCTCAAGAGATTTTTTTCTCCCCTCCTCCAAAGGCCATTTGCAATCACGGCACATCCACTGCCTCTTAAAAGTGAGCTCATCTGGCACTGGGTTACACTGAAGTCCTCCACCGTGCCTGAAGGAAGATTGCTTCTGGGTGGTGGGAACATGGAGAAGATGTGGTCTGTCCACCTGTCCCTTGGAGTGCTAACCATCTTGACCATGACTGTGTATGTCCCATCTACAGGTGGAGAGCCTTTTTTACTACAAGGTAAGCTGGAACACAGACTAGATGACACAGGTAGGTGGTTATCTTTTTGCTTTGCTTTGCTGCTTGTCATGGCCATGCAACCCTTATTTGTCCATGAAAGGAAATAAAATCAACCTCGAACTATGCTAACCACTCAATTAGTCTGGGTGCTACCCAGATACTTGCTTATGTTAGCATGCCCTGTAGCTGTCCTTCTGCTCTAGCATTGGCTGTATGATACATTCCATTAATCAGTAAAAATACCAGATCTGATGAAATCTGTCTGGTAAGAGTACCTCTTTCTTTCCTGAAAGAAAATTTCCAAGGAAAAATATTACAATATCAGAGAGTAACAATCCTAGTATGTACCATATGAGATTTGACAGCTCATAAATGTCAGTGGTAGGGTGCTGCTGAACTTTCTGTATGCAGGAAACTACTTTTTATATCTTCTTCTCCCACAATTTAAATTAATCTTAGCTTGGACTTATTCTGCAGGGAAATGTCAATCATTAATCTTTTTTCTTAGAGAGATTTGGCAGTGGAAAAAAAAAATCAGAGCAGCTAAATATAGGCTAGAAAATAACATGCTGCTTTTCAAACGATTTTTCCTCTTATATCACCTATTTATTTTTGCAATGACAACCAAAACATTCCTGAGGCCACTGTAGCTAATACTGCTACCATATAGTTTTTCATAGAGTGTTTATACCGTTTTTTCTGTAGCAAATCCCCCGAATAACTAAAAATAGCTGTTTTAAAATCCTAACTGCCTTTCAAGCTTAGGAAAGAGGTTTATAGCACACCACACTAACTGCAAACATTATACAGCGTGCAGCTCTGCTGACTTCCCCTGGTTTATTTCTTGAGATCACAATCAGGATCAGCGGCTTCAGCTGCAGCATTAGGCAGTGATGAGTTGGCCAAGTACTTGGACTATCACTTTGGACAGGACCTCTCTGCTTCTAAGGATTTACGTAGCTGTAGCTAATGGGGCTGATTCCAACACACTCTTAAGCGTCCTTCAGGCTCATCTGTTACAATTTTTTGTCTCATGTGTTTCGATATGTCTTCATTGCATTACAGTTATATAGGGTGGATAGTTGCATGAGACCAAAATCTTCCTTCTCCCTTCCTTGAAGAGAATGAGCAGATGTCCCAAAGATCTTGGGAGAAGAGAGAAAAATGCCTTTCTGCATCATTTCCTTGCCCTTCCCATGAATTCCACAGCCATCCTCAAGGGCTTTGCCGGGTCTGGGTGTGGGGCAGGAGCATTCAGAGCAAAAGTTGTGGGGAATGATCATTCTCCTGGCAAAGTCTGGCTCCCAGCCTGCCCCTCTCAATAATCAATGTGACATCCAAACCCTAGATGATCTTGGAAACCTGTTTGGCAGAGCTGGGAGGGTCTTTGAGAGCCTTCAGGGCCCCCTGTTAGAGTCTGATCCCCTGTGTCCATTGGATATCGCCAAACCACTGATTTCACAACCACTTTTGAGGGCATAGCCACAACCACTAGGAAAAAAACATTAAGAAAGCTCCCCAAAGGGACCCAAATTGCTTTATGACAGCAACCTGAGGAAGATTTTCTTGGAAAATAGGAGATCTATGCATGACCTATGGCTACCGTAAGAGGTTTTCTCAGAAAAAAAAGCAGCTAATTTTAAATTCCTCCACACTTCAGCTGTGCACAGGAAAAATCCTTTAATACCACTGGCAAACAGATAGATTAGCTCTCAGGCTAGACCAAGCACAAGGCTGGGCTGTGGGGCTACAGGGTTCTTCAGCTACGCTACACATACGTTAGCCCCAGTGGGGAGCTAGTTCCCACTTCTATGGACTCTGGGAAGATGGACAAGGTGAGTCTGGGGAGCACCCACAGTTTTGAGAAGGAAGAGAGGATCTCATTGGTTGGTAACTGACTTTGCACGGTCATTGAGTACATCCATCTTGCAGAGGGAGTCAGGACTGCCTAAATGTGGGTGATGTCTCCAGCTCACTGTAGCCAGCCATGCTGATGAGGCTACATTAAGACTGGCCAGCAGCCAGGAGCTGGCAGTGAGGGTTCCCCCATCCCGCATCCTTTCAGTGCGCAGACCTCACTGCCTGGACATTTTGTTCCGCTTTCACACATCTTCCACTTCCCTCAAGCTCCTTCCACCCTGGGAAAGACAGGAGACATTTTCCTTCTACTTCTTAGCCTTAATTTTTGTTTTAATGTTGGGGGCTGCAAGGTCTATCCTTTTTGCATTAGCGACTGACAGAAGTGTGTTTTGTGTGCTGTAGAGAATCAAGTGCATCCAGAGAGAGAAGATACAAATCATGAGGACACACTGCTGACTCTGCTTCTTAATAAGAAACTTGCATGGCGAAGACCAGAAAATATTGGTGAGTGAAAGGGATGGGAGATCTCAGGTTCCTGCAACTGTTCTTATGAACGCAAGGAGCCTGCTCCTTATATGTTCAGTTTGCTAGCAAGTACAGGCAGCTCATAAAGTGCATAGTTCAGCTCCTGTGTTTCAGTATATCGGTTATATGTGATTAACATCAGGTGTTCTGCCTCAAGGGGCTACCGGACCTGCTTTGGCAATGCAATGCAAAACTGTCCAAAAATTCACACCCTCAATCCTCAGACACTCAGTGCTGAGCTGCCAATTGAGCATGGGCACGTAGCATGACTAACAAAGAGGAGAGATGCTGCTGAGTCCCTGCACCCCTGCCATCCCTGGGATGAATGCTGAATATTAAGTTTAAGGCATGGGGCAGCTTTCCACTTGCACCCCGTACAGTCATAGTGCTTTTGATATACAACTCAATGTCAGGCTGGCATCTCTTACGTGCTCAGGGGACTCAGGTTTTTGCAGACCGCATAAAACTGAGATCCCTGAGTCAGGTGTAAATTGGGATAACGGTACTGGAAGCTTCCACCAAAGTTGGAGTCATTGTTACTAGTTGGAAGAGGGTTAAACAATGGGCTTTTCCCACACAGCAGAGAGGTCAAAGACATGCCACATGTGAGTTTTTTGTGTCTGTCCTGACATCAAATTTAAGGCCATTTTGCATGTTGCAACAAGCTCCAAACCCAGGCTTACTGAAGAGGAACTTGGGCTCTCCCGCACTACAATCATAAGCTCCACACAGATTATGGAGGTCAGCTATTCCCACAGTCAGGGGAGGGTTTGGGTGACATGCGGTGGTCTTGGAGCAGGAAGCTGTTCTTCTCTATAAAAACAGGAGTGAGCGGGGCCCAGCAGAAATTGTGTCATGAAAATCCAATACATCAAATCATTTAGTGCTCTTCCCCAGCCCCTTTTCAATGCAGTGAGGCAGTGGTTAAACGATCCTGGGAAAAATAAATACAAATAAATCAAGTCCTCATACTAACAAAGGCATCCTTCTTGCAAAGGAGATGCATTCAAAAAAATAACATTTTTATGATTGGTTTATGGGTTATTGCACTTATTACTCCTAGAGGAAAGACTGCATTTTATGCTAGACAATTGAATATAATGAATCTCTGAGTAGAGCACAGACAGAGGATTTACAGCAGGCAGTTTCTGAAGGCATTATCCATAAATTAGCTTCCTTACCCTCCCTGAGATAATCTGTTCCAGATTTTGTTCACTGTTCATTTTCTATTCATAGTCGTCATTGGCCAAGCTTACAGTTTGTGGAAAGCTGAGCCAAAACAGGCGTTTGAAACTCTGAAAGAGGTAAAAATGTGTAAAATAATAACAACAACAAGCTCTTAAGTGGCACTTTCCACTTGTAGATGTACAGGCCTGTTTGTCTGTACCTTAATGGTATGTAAAGACCTGTTTAAGAGGAATTTGCCTAAGGTCACTGCTGGCACTGCCAGGAACAGCCCCAGAGCCCCATCTCCTGACTCCCAGCCCATCTCCAGCACCACACTGTCTCTCAAATCAAGCCCTGATGTAACACATTTGTTTAGGAACTGTTACTTTTTCTGTTCTATTTGTTCTGTCTGACTATCTGTCAAATAATATTCAGGATCTTTCAACTGAATTGTTTCCTTCTTGAAGGAGAAACTGAGAATGCAGTCAGCTCTTTTTGGCACCCTGCTGTTCAATTTCAAATATATAAAAAAAGTGCAGTTTGGCATGTGTCTGTATGCTGAAGTCTTATCTGAAATCAGGGGAATTAGATGCCTAAATCCCTCTGGAGATCCAGACCAATGTCTGCGGTCACGGTCAGAGCAGACAAAGGAGGCAGTTCCAGGGCTGATATTTTTAGCTTTCTTGCGGGGTCCAGCAGGGACATTCTTTAGCTCTTTCTCGGCTCTTCTGCTTACTTTTGTGCTTCTTTTGTAGACTGGCACTTGAAGCCAGTTGATCGCTTTGCATTCTCCTCCTTGCCCAAGAGAACTGCCACAGTTTTCATTCAGCTTTGACTGGGATTTTTGACTGAGCCCATCCCATGATGGTGCTTTCAGTTGTTTCAGCTATCTTATTCCAACAGTTTCACTGTTTATGACATCAATTTGACAGCAGGTACCTGGAATAAGGTACCTCAGTCTTCAGGAGTGAGACTGAAATCCTATGTCCCTTCCTGAAGCTTTTTCTATTGCTAGTCTAGGCCCTCCCCCATTCAGATGGAGGTTTTAGATTTCATTCATAGGCAACCTAACTCCTCCCGTGTCCTGGATGGGATATCTCAGGGCAGTTTATTCATCCATGCGCATAGGCTTTTGACAGTCTTGTGCAGTACTGCTCAGTCTTGAGCTTTGTAAGTCTGATCTAAGGAGATGCCCCCTAGTCCCTGTTCAGGAAGGGGAGGGTGAATGGGCTAGAGGAAAAAGCCAGCTAGCTCCCCTACTGCTGGTGACTTGGCAGCTGCTTCCTCCACTCCCAGGGAGGACAGACAGAGAGAGCTCTTAGGCACAGAGCTCCCACGAGCCCACAAGAGAGAGATCCCTGCTACAGCACGACTGTGGTGGGCTGTAGCACAGGCAATTAAATGGTGTTCTCTGGCCTCCCTCTGCCCATGGGCAGGTGCAGTTGTGGAGGATTTAAAGAACAGGGTCACCTTCCATCTTCTCCACTTCATGGTTTTGTTGTGCTCCCCTAACATTCACAAGTGTGAAATCCATGCACTCACTGGTACATTACTTCTGCTGTTGCTACCCTCTGCCTACCCTGAAGTTTGCTGACTTGTAAAGCAATGCATTCTGCCAGGCTAGGTCTATGTCTTCTAGCTTCTGCCCACATGGGTGATGTGAGGGCAAACGAGATTTAAAGGATACAACATGAGTTCACACAAATGGCCAGTGACAGAAAAGCCAGCAACAGATTTGCCGTTATCAGGATAAAGTCAAAAAGCAAAAAAGAGATTCACCTGAGCTGATACCACACAGTGTGTGACCTTGTTGAATGAGTTCCTCTAAAGCCGTGGTGAATGATAAAAGACATTTCTCTCATAATGGAGAATTAGGGTAAAGCCCCATAGAATTAAGCAGGGAAAGCCTACTTTTTCTGTCACTGTTTCCACTACCATAGATCTGGAGATCACTAAAGGGATTTAAATGATGCCTAGGTCAATATTAACCCTTGAAGAGGTTAAATGTCTTCATTGTTTCTGATTTGAGCTTTGGGAAGCAATGTGGATACTGATATTACCTTGTCCTCTCTTGCAGACTGGGAGCTGGCAAAGAAATTTGAAGAGCTTGAACAGGTGAGAGAAGCAAATGCACAGATGCATTTGCATTGTTGCATGAATAATAACTCAGCTAAACAAAGGTGCGTATTGTCTTTATCGCCCTTTCTATCTCTACACCCTCCTGCTATTCATTCTGGTGCTACAATATAAGCATGTATCACACAAAGGAAAAAGACGAACCTGGGCTAAAGATCTGCATGAGCTGGAAAAAAGGGGCAGCAAACTATAGCCTAATATGGTAAAGGCTCTTGCTCCTGCCACTAGTGAAAGGCCAGAAAAGGCCAAGCCAGGAAAAAAGAGCTATTGAAGGAGACGTAATTCTACCTTCCCATGCATTGCATCAGCTGGCTGCATCCAATAATTAGTTCAAACTAGAGGGCTAGCCACTGCACCAGACCTAACCCAGACTGAATTTTCCCTCAATTCTTTATTAATATGGGAGCCCCTACCCAGGGTCACAGCCCTGCTGTGCTATGGAGTGCACACACGTGTGCACACACCCATGCACACACACACAGATGACAAGAGGAAGTCCTATCCTACAAGGTCCCAGGAATAGCAAAAGGTGTGCAGCAACTTCGAGGGGGCTTCCACTGTGCCCCAGACGCCAAAGGCAGTGGCTCCTTTTCACCCTCAGGCCAGATATAGCTGTTCATGTGGATCCCCTAGGTCCTGCTGAGTTCCACTCAGCAGACTCCACTTCAAATTTGGACTGAAAAAAAGTGCACCATGCTCTTTTGGGAGGCATGTCCTTTTGGGAGGCTCCCAGGTCCTGCCCCATGCCCTCAGTCCAGAGCTGAGGGATATTAGATTGGGCTTCCTGGGAGTGATGTCACCAAAGCAGAAGTCTAGACGATGGTCACAGCTATTTCCGGTCCACTGGAAAAGGAAAAGAGTAGCTACAGATGGAGAAGAGATGCTGTAGATTTTCCCTGCTGCATCTAAGGGAAGATAGCAAGAGCAGAGGGAGGGGAGGGAGTGGGAGCCACTGCCCAGAGGTGTGACAGTCTCTGCTGCAGTGGCTGGATGCCTGGGGACCTCCCACCCCTGTGAAGTAGCACTGACTTCAGTGTTAGTGGCACAATATCCTTCTGCACAGTCTCCTCTCCATAGGGGTTTAGATTGCACCATCGCTGGTGAAGGGCAGAGGGTGCCCCCACAGCTGCCATAAAACAAGCAGCTAAGGGGAGGAGAAAACATGGGGGTAAGTGTGGGTGATCCAAGGGCAGAGCCTCCTGGAATGGCCCTATTCCAGGGAAGAACCTGTCCTTCCCAGTGATGCTGCCAGCCACCTTCTCTGTACATCCTGCCCTGAGTTGTACTGCACTTTCCAGCAAGCTGCAGAGCTCTTCATGATGGGACATTTGTTCACTGCTATATTTATTTTTAAACAGCTGGAGAAGTTGAAGGATCAGCTCTCAAGTGAGGAAGGGTCAGAGGTGGCCTATGCCTTGGAAAGTTTGTCGGCATCTCAGCCTAAAAAACGCGGTAGGTTTTGCGTTAGAGTTAGTCTGTGTGTCTCTCTGGCTGCAGCCATCCAGTCAGGGCTTCCGTGGCGTGCTTCTCCTACTTCCACAGGCAGGTAGCATTTCTGGTAGTCCTGGTCCTCTCTTGCTAATGACTGGCTGGTTTAACAGCTGGTGAGAAGGACTCCATAACCAACCCTGCCTGCTGTTGAGTCACATGCAGTGGGTCTGCACCTTCAGGACTTCATTGGAGGCAGTTAAAGTTGCACCCCTCTCTTCACAGAGGAACATGGGGTTATGTGGGTGATGACTGCCTTTCCAGGAGGAGGTGAGCTCTGTATGAACACTTTCCTTCAATGTGCCTCTCATTTTGCTCTGGCACAAAGCTAGTGCTGAAGGCATAATGAGGCATGTGGACTGCACGTTTTCCCCTCTGTCAAGGTCATTGCCTCTCTACAGAGAAGAAAGGAACAATTGTTTGTGCCACTGAAAAAACAGCAAAAAAGGGACATGAAAATCAACCAAGAATGCAGGGAGCTAAGATCTTAATAGGTTCCCCAGTTGGTCCCCTCTGCCAGCAAGGCAGAATTGCTCATTGCCATACCTTCTCCAAGATATGTCCAGTCTGTTTTCAACGACTCAAGCAGTATATTGCACTAGGGCACCTGCAAGGCTGTCCTTGAGAACCACATGAATAATGCTGTTCATGCTGGCTTTCAGTGGATTCCTTCGCAAAAAGTGGTAGTTGTAAAAACAGAAGACACCAATGACGGATCCAGATTAATAACTAAAGAGCTGGTTTTGCCCTAACCCCTGATGCTCACTGCATGTACAAGCTCTGACAACCTGCCAAACAGGCAAGGGAAAGCCCCGTTTGTGTAAGTGCTTAAGTGATCTTTAGATGATCTGCAATTTATAAGAAGCCCAGGAGGCTGCCACTGCTTTGGCTGATCTAATTTATGTCCCTACCAGTCTAGAAGGTTCCAGTGTGGATAAAACTACTTTCTCTAGTTAGGTTTAAAGTAGAATCTGCCAGAAATTAAAGCAGAGAACCTCTGCCTTAATCTAAAGTCTTTCCAGTCTGGGAGATGCTCCTGCCTGAGCACTGCAGATGTCATAAAAAATCTACATGCCATTCAAAAATCTAGCCTTTCAAAACCAGGTAGATATCCTCTCTCACACTTGCAGCTCTCAAAGAATTGACAATAGGTGACCTCCACAGGGTTCAAAGAACAGGATATGCTTGTGATACAGTTGTTTTTTCCAGCAGCTAAATCCCCATCTTCCCCTAATTTGTTTCTCTTGGAAGATCCTACGGAGATCAATGGTATTTTGGGGATGATAGGTAGCAGAGTGATTAAAGTTTTGTAAAAATTTGTAGACGTCCTTTCTTTTATTGTTATAATGAGCTCAAGTCTCACTGAGTCAGCATCCAACTCTTCCCGTTAACCCCAGGTGAGAAACCCCGTACACACTTCTGAGGCAGCAAAACTGCTGGCTGATAAAGACAGGAAAGAAAAAACTGATATTGCTAAAGCAGAGTAAAAGGAAAAGCAAATCCCTATAAAGCAAGTGGCACAGAAATAACTCTCAGGCCTTTTCTTTATATTGCAAAAAGCCAAAAGATTCACCTTCTTAGAAGTATTATATGAAGTCAAAGCTAGTTATTGAGATGTGCACAAAAACCACAATGGTGGCTCAACACCCCAACTGCCTCAAGACCTAGAGCTTTTGAAACCCACTCCATGACTAGAATGGGAAGTTGTAAAAAGTTCCTTGGATACTAACACCCTTCTTTTGTATCCCTCTCCAGCCTGCTTCTGGAAATACTGCATCTGAAGACTTGCCAGGAATGGAGGATGAAGACAAGCCCTTCCCCGAACTGCCTTGCTTAGAGTTTGTTCTGTTCTCTCATTGTGCTGCTAACTTGGATGCCATTCTCTGTAATGGCAGCACAGCTGAGTCTAATAGGGACTGTGACAGGAGCCGGTAGCCCACTACCCCTCTCCACTGTTCCTTCCTTCCGGGTTTAACCTTTCCTGATCTTCTACATGGAGGAGGTTTCCCAACTTTCTTTGCTGCCCCTGTGTGTGCCATTCAGTCTGCTGCCATTGTAAACTCTTCCCCTTCCCACCAGGTTCCCCAAGGCATCAAACATTAACTCAATTGCTCTGAGCTTGGGCTCTGTCCACTTTCACAGACGTTGCTCACGGTGGTATCTCAGTTTCCCCTTTGCCTCCTAAAAGCAGGTCTATGATGACCTAACACCCTCTGTCAGAATAGGAAGGCAGACTGGGGAGAACGTGAAAGTTTCAGGGCTGCCTGCTCCATCTTGCTGAGCCAGAGTTGTTTCTTGTTGTGTCTCATCAGCGTACACAGTTGGTTTGCGGGAGGACAGGCACAGAAGTCTGGGTCCTTTGGATATCATTCCAATAAAGATTTTCTGTTGCACAGGAGCACATGGTGTTTTCTTTTTCATCCCTTGCAGAGATCCAAGGTGGCAGTATGTTTCCCTTGACGTAAGGTTACATTACTTAATAGATCATGTTAGGTTTACTGCGAAAAAGGCTCAAATTAAATACCTAGCTGTAGCAACACAGGTCTATTTTACTGTGCTTGAGGAGAAGGCCCTCCCTTTTGACCAGAACTGGGAAAGAATTGGGTCTTTCCCGTGGATATGTGTGGGCTCCTGTTGTCATGGAACTGGACCAGCGCCAGTGACTTCCACCTACTCACCCCAAATAAATGTTTTCAGAAGAGATTTTTGGGTCTTCTGGCTGGTCAGTGCTGATGCAAGCTGGCTTTCTCTACTGCAGAATTATGTCTGCACCTGTTCAAAAGGAAGAGATCACATTCCATCAGTGGTTCCTACATATATTTATTTTAAGGCGTGTTATCCAAGTTCATTTGCAAACAAAAAGCAAATGGTTGCTGGGCCACGTTCCCAAAGGTGTAAATTTCTTATTTACAGAATAAATCTTTTGAGGCCACACATGTTACTTTCAAGATTTCCAACAGTGCAAACGAGAGCAGAATCCAGTAGGCACTATTCGTGTGTAGATTGACTGACACTCTCTCCAGTCCTGTCTAGCCAAGTCAATTAACTGTAGATTGTATACTACGTATTCCTCAAAACTTTACTTCTCCCAGAGCATTAATTACTATCCTACATTTATTGCCTGGGGCTTTGGCAAGATATGCATGCTTACCACAACAGTACCTTTTTGTACTTCATTAACAAGTAGATCTATTCATCTTATTACAGGCTGAAGTTAGCATATATGGAACACAAACAGCTTGACTATATCAGTGAGGTCTGATCATACGTAAAATACAGTTTGCTGGTAACATCAATTCTTTGCTATTTCTTTGGTAGTGATTCAGAAAGATTTTCCCAGTCTGTTGTACTGTGCATGGGAACACAAAGCTTCCCTATAATAGCACTAAATTCAGGAAAAAGTATAGCTCGTTGCCAAAAGAAGGGTCTCTCTTTCTCAAAGTGTTTGGTGCTTGAGCTGAATGGAAGGTGTACTACAAGAGCTGCACTGAGTGCCCAAGGCTGGTGTTCGGGTTAGATGCCTTCAGCTTGCAGGAAGTTCCACTGCAATGAAGGGCTGGAGCAGCAGGCTCCTCTGTTACTGGCTAGCTCTAGCCATGTCTTCCTTGCCTTGTGTGACAGGCTCTCCAGAGAGTCAGGAAATACAGCATTTGTGACTATTTAACAGCTTAGTCTAATCTTAGACACAGGAAGTCCCTGGAGTGCAATGCATCATGCTACTTAGCGGTGATATTTAGCCCACATGATGTGCTACATTCTACCAGTGTACCTAGCAAGTGCTCCTAGTACCCAGATTACCCCAGTATTTCCTCATGGAGCTCTATGATGCTGTGTTGGCTGCCTTTGCTGGACAGAGGAGTATTAAAGTGATGAGTGCAAATAATTTATCAATTCTGAGCAAAGATAGTGATGCTATCCCCAGACTCACCTTCAGCATGTCACTACAGGGGTCCTGCTCATCCTCCTTAACTCACAGAGCAGTAGCTCTTGTCTCCTCAGGTGTCACTTCCACATCACTGGGCAAAGTTAGCATGCAATGGATGCTGTAGTATATTCTCACTTTATGTTTTTTCACCTCCATGCTACACACAAGGTGCTGCTCACACCTTACCCATGCTTGGGCAGGCACTCTTGCTCAAGTTAATGAACCAGAGGCAATAATTAAAGACATTTCCCTTAGGCTTTCTAGCAGACCATGTTGATTTATTAGCAGAAAATCCTCACAGGCTTCTGAATGGTTTTGCAAACAGAGAGAGCACACAGGGCTAAGACAGTGTGCAACAGATGCTCGCACTTCACATTTGTTAACCTCTAAGTCACGCACAATGACTGAGGCTATCCAGTATTGTCTATGAAAACAAATTATGGTGTCCAGTCTTTCAGACATCATATTTTTTAGGGATTTTACAAGTGCTTTCTGAACCACAGGAGGCCTCAGCATGTTCTCATGTGGATGGAAGCAGAGGAATAGAACACCTGCGGGTTTTTCCTAGGTAATGCGTCCGACACGACGGGAGCCAAGAGCAGGACTGAAGCTTCAAGCTCCCATTTCCAGGTGACAACTAACAACCAGACAGACACCTCTGCCCTGCTGTGCTTTCATGTTTTCCTCCAGATAGAGGGCATTTCTGCATACAACTGTAGGTTTTAAAATCCTTTTCTATTTAGAAGTCCAGACTAATACCAGCCAACAGTTGCAATACATTTGCATTCCAGCAGTATCTTTGCAAAGCAGCTGTGTCAGCATTGGATTTCTCCAATCTGGGTCTCCTAAAATGCGTCACACAATGAATCTGTCCATACCGCTCTTAATAAGCAGCTGTACAAGTGGTCAGGAGTACATCACCTCCATAATCTGCCCATGCCCTGCACATATGGCTGCCTTGCAAGCAGATTATCTGCAGCCTGTCTGGGCGAGCTCAGTGCAATAAGATAACTGTTCACTAAGCTGCAGGGCAGGCTCAGGACAGGTGGTTGCAGCACACTCCAGAGGACAGGGTCTGGGCTTGTCTGGGATTGCATTGACAGATTTGCTTCCAGCATGGGCAGAAAATCTTGTCTCAGGTCAGCATTCAGCCAATCTACGCACACCCAGTCAATCCAGCTCCCAGAGCCTTGATCTGCATCTTAAAGACTGAGAGTGAGCACTGGGGCTGGGGGACAGGTGGGAAGTAAAAAGACAGGATGATTCATCTATTTGGACTTAACTTTGAGATCTCAGTCTGGAAAGCATCTACAGTGCTCGATCTCACATATAAGCATTGACAACACACCCATTAACAGAGGAATGATCACCTAACTCAGTTAGCTATAGCTCTTCTTGATGGGAAAGATGGGGGCACTTCTTGATGTGATCCAGTGGTTTGTGAAGCTGCTTTTAGCAGCAATAGCCTAGACTGAATGTCAGTTGCTGGACCCAGACCCAGTCAGGACTGCAGGCAACAAGAAAATGGGGTAGGACTTGTGAGGCCCCTGTCACAGCCAAAGCACTGCCCGCTCTCAGACACGTATTTTACGCTACCTACCATTCTGAGAGGGAGCCTTATTTCCCACCATGGCCTGAAAATATCACTCCTCAGAATAGCTCTATTTTCTGAAGAGTCATTGACATTCTAACTTCTTTTCTTCAGCTTTCTTTTGGAGAAGCTGACTGTATTTCTTCCCAGTTTCGCTAGTTGATGGCCAGTTTCTTCGTACCTCACATGAGATCGGGAAATTAGCATTTAATTTCTATCCCCACCCTGACCGCAACTTACTGCCTAAAACGAGGTAAGCGTTAAGTCAGAGCAAGATATACTTTTTCCTCCTCATCCTACATAATCTCTTTCTAAGTGGGTCTTCTTTTGAAATTCTAAGAATGATTTACCAAGAACAGCAATATAAGGAATATAGCTGACGCGGACCCAAGTCCAGTGAGGAATGTGCGAGGTTTAGAAAAGATCAGCTAGGAACCTGAGCGTGTAGATGTCAGCAAATGTCTCTTTCCAGCTTTTTTTATAAGTTGGAAAGAAGTGAAAAAAAAATAAAACAAGATTCAGGCTAACCTGTTTACACTGAATTGCAAAGGATAGGGTAGGCACGTGTTCACATGTTCACAGAGTAAGAAATGCTTGAACTTTTACAGTTGGATGTCTGATTATGCCCCATACACATATCAAGAGACTAAAATAAGCGCAATGATGCAGATGGCCTAGGAAGTTGATGAATTCATATTTGGATAGTTTCCTGTGTTATACATAGGGAGGAGTGAAATGTATTTATAAGCTTAGCAGAGGAAATTATAAGTCTCACCACATTTCAGGATCTGCCATACGATGAAAACATTTCTAAATTTGGTGCAGAGATAAGAGAAAGACTGCTAAAAGCATCAGGCCGAATCCTAAGGTATTATCATAGTTTTTATTTACATAAACTCCTAGTGATGTCAACAGACATTTTCTCCTGAATAGCAGTTCAAATAAAATCTGGGTTTCTCCCATAACTGTTAAATCCTCCCTTCATCTACCAAGCAAACATCCGCCTGAAAGAAATTTGGAAAGCAAACTGTCTGCTTTTCATGGAATGCTGTTGGCATCTCTGAAGGTTTTATTTTATAGTCAAAAATTCTAATAGTCCTTGCTAGGATTATGAACTTTTGCAAGTTTAAGAAATAAATGCCATGCAATTGAACTATATATTTTTTTTTCTGTTCCCTCCTATCTGTGGCACTGTGCATAACTGTGAGAGCACTCTGACCTGATGAATTGAATTTGTTACTGTTTGTAAAATGCAATGTGAAACAGATTTTATAGGACGTCAATTCCTTGAGTGTTGAATCATTAGTCAATGACAAGACATGCTCTGATGCATCTTCCATATTTCTGTAATGTTTCCAAAACAGCATCAATCATTCAGAACAGAAGCACCTGTAGACAGAAAAGCAGTAAATATTACATTTTCCCAACTCAGAAATGCAAGGCTTGGGCAAAGACACTATAAGGTCATCTATGGGAGATGGAAAAGACTAGGAATTGTAGTTTCCCCGTTGCGGGATACTAAGTCCTAGTTTAGAGCATTAAATCTAAATTCATAGTCACAATCAATGTTATATGAAGTCGTCCTTCCCCAAGCATCCCTAACCAAACCTACTGGCATGACCTGAGTCGGTCTATGAAACCGAGAACGGGTGTGGTTGCCCAGGTCTGCCCACACCTGGATTACTTTGGCTTACTTGCACAAGCTGCTAACCCTTGGTGTTGCTGAGACGGCTCACTCCAATTCGGTCAAGAGGAACTCCAAATCGTCTCTTAGGCAGCTCAACCACTTTCCTGAATGGGGAAAACAAAGAAAGAGGAGGTAAAGAGCTGGGAAAAGACATCATAGGAATAATCAGAATGTTGTTGCATTTTTGATTCCTGCATTCATCCCACCCACAACTTTGTTGTTCACACAGTACAGTTGCACAGCAGCAGCTGAAGATGAGTGTTTAAAAATAGTATGCTTCACTTCTCTTAAAAATGAAGATAGGCAAGAGTTGCGACCTGTTTACAGAAACTATCCCTGTTTATACTTGGCAACAAGCAAACAGTTTCATAGGTTGCCTGCTGTTCACAAAAGAAAGTAGAAGCATTGCATGTATGAAAGGAGAGTGTCTCATGCATAGCATCATACACTTCAGATGACTCCTTAGCCTGGATCTTCAAAAACTGCTATGCTAATTGTGGTTAAGATGAATAAGGAAGTAGGGAAGTATTCCACACTAACAGAGGGGACAAGCCAGAGGAATCCTAGCAGGATTTTCCTAAGGGGTATTCTTAAGGCAATACCCTCTTGATGAGACTGAAAGTATTAGGTTTTTTTTTCCTTACGTTACACTTCCTGATAATTTGATGAATAAGGTCATGAGGAAAGATGTGAGAGAAGCTGTAGGCAGGAGTATTTTATTAGTTAAAAAAGGAATGTTCTTAGTCATAATTCCAGCTTTTAATAACAAAATAGAATTCATCATTTCTGAGCATTTGTTTCACTAGCAGAAGTTTAATTTTAATTTATTGTGTAAATGATGAGGTTTTCTGCAGCTGAGAATAACCTCAACTTTCCCCCCTTGGATATCATTGTCAATGAAATGCAGGCCAAAGAGGAGCCCTGGAAAATGAACTCTTCTTTCTGTTAGTCCTTATCAAGAAAAATAAATGTGCATTTTTGTTCTTTAAGTTGGCAAATGCAAACTAACTAGCAGAACATCATGCTATAGTACGTCTGAGTCTACCTTGATATGCTAGTAGTGCCACGCTCAGCTTGTGGCTTTGGGGGCTGTGTATATGCCTCCAGGATGATCTGTCTAGTCCATGATCTCCTCCAAATAGCATCCTTTCCTCACACCACTCAGGCACAGGCTGAGGCCTGGAGGCATCAGTCCTGCAGCAATAGCCCATTTCACATTGCCTCTCTTCTAGTTATGTTTCAGAGGTGGTCAACAGACAGGAATTGACAGTGTACTACATGTGTAGAGAGCACCAAACTTGTCATGCTGGAGCAGCTAGAGAACATAGCAAATGAGCTGGATGCCACTTTTATAGCCCTCACTTTTCTTTCCTCTAAAACCTACATTATCTTGCTCTGCTAGAAAGAACAGGCACTTTCATGCTAATCCACAGGTAAAGCAAAGTGGCTCAGGGCTGATCCTCCATTTGTTGCCTCAAAGGAAGAATATCACTCTTTCGCCCCCACCAAGGTGTGGGCACAAGGTGGGGGAAGTGAGGGGGAGCATGTGTGAGGCTTGGGCTGCTGCAGTCTTAACGAGCCTGATACGATAAAATGGGAAATTAATTTACCACCTTGCTTTCTGTGGGGTGGTTTCCTGCATAAGTAGTTGCAATATTATCATGGTCAGGAATCAAGTAGAAAAAGAAACCTAAAATCCTATCAGCGTGAAAGGCTGAGCAGTCTGGTAGGGAGGTTTTGCAGCAGAGCTTCCCCTCTTGTGGCCATCTGGTGCCATGGCAGGACAATCATCGCTTCCCTAGCAGCCCGTTTCCTCAGTTTTCGTGTTCCAAACGAGACTATGCTTTCAAAATTTTCTAAATAAGCATTGACAGGCAAGATTAGGATCCGTGCCCTCCTGTAGCTGGTGGGTGCCACAACAGTGTTGTTAAGTCATTTGCTGTCTTCCAAAAACTTCCGTTGTATTGCCATGTACTACACACACTGTGTTAATACGAGGGGTTAAATCTTTTTCAGGGCTTTTATGCTTCAAAAGTCATTATCTACAGTCTCTACAGGTAATACTCAGCTGGTACAGTGGAAGGTTGTTATCCAAGTCATGCACCACAACAACAGGGGTGCAAAGTCCTCCGTTTTACACCTGCAAGTGCAGCAGCCTCTGCTGCCACCTAAAGGTAGGGCCTTTCTACTGTTTCATGGCACTCATCCGATCTGCGACCTGTGCTGAAAGCAGTTATCTGACTATCAACAGAGTGATTAAGGCAGCTCAGACGATTCTAATATGTAGACCAATCCCAAACTCAGAAGCTAATCAGCTCTCTGAAAGTGATAATCTCAAAGCAAAACTATGCTGATGATGTTGTGAAGCGAGGAATTTTGTGCAGTGTCACTCCTTTGCATGATCTCATTATTTGATTTCAGAGATGAGCTGCTAGAAAATTTGGATAGTTTTCCGCAGAATTTCCCTTTCTCTTTTTCATGTTTTTTTTTTCTTCTATTGCATGTAGAATGGAACAAGTTTTCCATGCATAAAGCACAAGACAAACTGAGATTACCTTATATTTTTGCAGAAAAGGCACTACAACTTCAAAAGTGACCTAATTTTTGTTCCCCTCAAGAGGTAAAACATGCTAAACAGATAAACAAAGAAGGAGTGATTTTGATCTCATGCAGAGCTATATGGACAAAAAAGTCCTACTTGAGGTTTTAAAATTTTTCTACTTTGTCATTTTGGCTGCAGTCAAAAACTGCTAGTAGCTACTAGGTTACTTACTCCTGGGTAAGTGAAAAAATAACAAGAAAATGTTGCAAAACTCTTCTTAAAAAAATGCTTGTAATGTTGACTGACTCCAGGGAATACTTTCCATTTCCAGATTAAATTTTAAGTATATAATTAAATACTTTGTGGCATTGAGAAATCCATCCAAAAGAAGACAGTTACCGGAAGACGGGAAGGAACAAGACAGTTTAGCTCTTTCAGATACGGTGAACAGCCCCTTTAGCTTTGCCCCAAACTCACTGGCTTTCCCCAGCCATTTCAGTCACCACTCCTTAGCCCTCATAGTTATAAACTTGCACATCTTCCAGTGTGTACTGTGAAGGTATCAGACCCAAACATTAACAAATCCGTTATGGAATAGACCAGCTTATTGATTGAACCTGGCTTATGCGGAGTAGATCTAGATCCTGAAGCTTTTTTCTTGGAGGCTCATTCTATAATATATCTGCCCGTGTTTGTGATGCATTCTTCATCTTTCTATTCAAGATGTGCATTGCAATACCTCTCTTCGCTCCAGTTTTGGGAAGACCTAGCCTTGCCCCTTTACTTTTTAACCTCAGATACATTTTTGCAGTAAATAATCTCATGATCAAAAAGGCAGTTTTACACTGAAGGGTAGTTCACATGTTTGGAAAGAAGTGTACTAGAAAAATACACGTTCTTGAACGTTTCTGTTAGTTGGAGGGAACTCTGGGGATAAATGAATCATAGCATGAATTACTCCTCACAGCCGAAGAATTATACATGGTACAGAGTGGTTTCTGATGAGATTCTGGTACTCTCGTAAGAAGCACCTTGTAATTGCTAGTGGCTAAAAATGAACCATTTGTATCCAGGATAACCTATCAACAGATGTCTTTTCCCAGCTTCACCACTGTCAGGAGCATCAAAGAACTTACCTCTGTTTGCCTTTTTTATCCATAGAACTTGAAGAAATTCTGTCAATTGGGGAACCAAATCCTGGGAAACTTCTTTTCTTCTTGGTCTCAGTCACCTCATTCTCCAGAGACACCAGTTCATCAAGAAGGAACAGCTTGGCTGATAGGTCAGTGGCTGACTTCTCTTCGCTAGTAGTGGGATGTGTTCCCATGCCCAGCGCATCAGAGGGCTCCAAACCCTGCCAAAGAAATCCGGGATGTTTGCTTGCTGCTGAAGTTCCAGAAAAATCATTTCAATCAGTGTCAAAGCAACAGTTCTATAAATATAAAAATCACAAGGACACTAAACCTGGGCCACTGCTTTAAAACAAAATTTCTTCTGTGAAACTTCATTATTTTCCCATCACAGGAAGTTGCCATGAAAAGTTGAGATTTTTTTTTGAAAGACTTGAACTGCCCCTTCACTATTATTTTAAGTATTATCAAAATAATTAGCAAAATTTTTGGTTTCACAAACCCTATGTTTTGTGAGCCAATCGAGTATCGCTATCTTAACAGTGTGGTTGGTATCACTTCTAGCATGAGCTGAGTATTCACTATTATTTTAAGTATTATCAAAATAATTAGCAAAATTTTTGGTTTCACAAACCCTATGTTTTGTGAGCCAATCGAGTATCGCTATCTTAACAGTGTGGTTGGTATCACTTCTAGCATGAGCTGAGTAATTTCATCTTTTTGAAAAATGCAATAGCCATTACCAGACTCTGAAATCCATTCTGATATTTTTCAGGAAAATGATTTTCATTTTGAATTCTAATAAGTAGTAACGAAATGTATGCAGCATTTTCCATCCAAAGTCAACAAATAATTAGTTGTTATGAAAAAAAAATTTCCCAAGATCAACTTGCTCAGCACTGACATTCGGAGAATTGAGCGGCAGCGTTACACAGCAACAGTACAGAAAGAGCAGGAAAGCAAAGAACAGTATATTGACTTGATACAGAATTTTGAACCTTAGTTATGACATTAGGCTTAATACCTTAACAAAATAAACAAACTTCACCTAGCTATCCAGAATAGCTGAGAATATCGGGGTTTATCAACACAGAAATGAGATCCATCAAATGAAGCGAAATATTTGCTTTGCAAATAACAGAAAAATATAGGACAGCAGCTACTGTATGAAAGTAGGTATCAAATTCATTCTTCTGTCTTTGGATTAAGTGTTTGGCTTCTTGCTCTACTTGATCTCCATGGAATTAGGTAAACAACAATTCTAAGTAAAATTTTTATTAGATGCCTTAAACTTGACTTTCCTTTGTCTTTAAAAGCATGCCACTATCTTTCTTACTCATACACAGCATGTTTAGCAGTAATGTAAAGAAAGCCATCACATGGACAATATAATATGCTTCTATCTACTACAGTCCACACCACAGTTGTGGTGGTGCCTTCTCACTACTAGTGGGTGGCAAAAACCAGTGATGGTGTGTATAAAAGGAAACTGTGACCTTGACATAAGGAGGGTCAACTGACAACAATAATTGCAATAACGACATAGTGCTGTTAACATTTTTGAAAGGGTTCCCGTATTGTCCTCTGACATTTTCTGTGAGCCTCGAGTGCCATTTAGTGGTCCTTTCTGTTCTTTTTCAGGGATATAAAACTGTTATAAAGATTTGCAACAAAACTGTGCCTTTAAAGAAGAATGAACTCTCTCCTCCAGTTAGTAGGGAAAATATCCACAATAACGCTCAAACTGGAAAGTAAAAATCACCTCTGTTCTTGAGTGTTGTGTGCAGCCCTATTTACTTCATCTTAAAAATAATATAATAGAATTGTAGAAAGTAAAGAGACAGCTAAAAAGATAATCAGATGTAGGCAATGGTTCCCTGTGATGAACCACTAAACAAAGCACCACTTCACAGAAGAGCAAAGAGATGAAAAAGGGAGGAATATAGTGCAGGGTTTATAAACTTATGTAAAGCAAAGAGGTAAATAAAGACCAATAAAGATTATTTTTTCATCAAGAAAAAGAGCTCCCAGTTCTTCATCTAGTGAAGTCACCAGGTGGTGAATTTAAAATAAATAGAAGGAGCTACTTTTTAAATACAGCACACAGATATTATCTAAGTGGAATGCGTTGCCAAATGAGGTCACGGATACCAAAAGTTTAAACAGTTTAAAAGACAAAGAGAGGCCCCTCAGCAGCTAAAAAATGCACGGGTCAAGTATGGATCAGGAAGTCCCTGAAGACATCCTGTTCTTAGGTTCTCTTCACAAATACCCACCACTGGTCACTAACAGAAACAGGGTGCCAGGTCTCTGTCGTATCAGAAAAGCTGCTGCTGTGGCACTGATGTGGACAGCAGTTCCTCCAAACCCTATTTTCGATAACATTATTCTGCATAATCAGGGTATACTCACTTGAAAACAGAGAGCAAAGTAGAAGTGTCCATCAGTATTCTGCAGTACGCTTCTAACTTCTAAGCTGGTCTTAAAAATCTGTGTAAAGACCCTACAGCCAAATAGTGCTGCTTTGATTAAACTTTTAGATCCTTGACTTTCATGCCATGAAACCGTTACATAAATATCTTTGCTGCCACATCTGCTTTATGTCAAGATGACATTAAAAAAAAAAAAATTCAGTAGAAGTATTTACAGGTGCAATGACTGCATATCTTAGCGGATGAAATACAAGAGTTCTGCCATTTCATCTACCGGTTTCCTTTGTAAGCTTAGTCAAGTTATTGCTCCTTTCCTCTCCTGGTCTCTTCTCTGTCTCCTTTAACAGAGATAAAACATATATCCAGGGGATTTCCTCTCAATTCTCTCATTATGGCTCCTGAAAACTGCAGACTCCTCATGCTATCATTTGTCTTTTAAGGAGAACTCTGCAACTCTTTTCAGTGTTAGATGAGCTTGTTTTCCTTCCCCCCATCCTCGAAGTTCTTTATCCCCAGTCACTGGTCACTAGTCATGTTATGTTTTAACATACAGAAATCCCAGAGTGAATCTTCAGGAGAGACTGTGTGAATCTGGGCAGCATTTCAGCCTGTCAGCCCTCTCAGAGCCATGCAGTTTGCATCACTCCTTTCATTGCAGAAGTTGTCATGCTCCAGCTTTGCCCTTGAAGAGCCAAGACTTGTTCATTTTTCAACACTGGAGACCGTGGTATCTTCCACACTCTGTAGGTAGGAGCTCCCCTAGGAAGAGTCAGGTTATGTGATAACCATCAGGAACATTCACCTACCTCCGGAGCTGCCTCAGCTAGGAGCTTTGAGCTAGACTGCCACTGTAGCAGGGTAATCACAAGGGCCAAATGGGCCACAACCAGCTGAAACTGCAGCATCTGCAAAGGAGAATGATCTGTTAATGGCTCCACAGCCACATTTCCAGAGGAGAGATAGAGAGAGTGGGTGGCAAATACCAGTGAGAGTCTTTATAGACTGATGGTGGAGACACAAAGAAGAGAACATCTCTCTCCGAAGACCTTAGAGAAGTGAAAGCAAGCAGGAAGACTCTGCTGTCATGGCTGTTAATACATTTCATGATACAAAGTCACTGCTGAGTGACCGTCACCTGCGAGAGCAGAATCAGCTCCCTCCGCTTTGTCCCACTCTTTCACCCTCTAATGGCCCCGCAAACCTTTTAATTCCTTTCTGCACAATGGCCCAGTCCTTGCAGAAGGAGGAGAAGTAATGAATGCAAACTTGCATTAAAACCAAATGAACTAGACACTCATGTGTAAGCAGAGAGATTTTGTTTGTCTCACAGCTACCTAGGCTGACCTTGACCTCCTCACACGCTGGGTAAGTGCCCTGAAGCTGTTACAAAAATTACAGATCTCCCCAGCAGCATTTTTAAAGTAAGGCTGCATTTCACAGGCACCCAGTTCTGACAGCGTAAATTAACAGTAGCCACAACTATAGACCCCTTGCAATCCTGGAGGAAAGTCTCTCATATCTGAGAGAGGAAAGGCTCTCATATCTGGGAAAAGCTTACATGGAAATCAGTTGCTCAGACATATCCTTCAAACCATATGCCGCAGTTGCAGAACTGCAGGTGCCCGCAGAGCCCTTAAGTCAAGCAAAGAGGTTTAAGTTTTGGCAAGATCAGGAAGTTGCTGGCTGCAGGGATTTCTTTGGTCATGGATTTGGGCTGCATTCTTTAAGTCTTTTTCTAGATCTAGCTCCCAGAGCTTAATGCGCTTCTAACTTTGCTAGGTGGGAGTCCTACAACTGATGTTAATAAGAACTAGGCTGTGGCCTCTAGTGCCAAAGAAATCTGCTAATTTACTGATTAGTTTGTTACCAGGTCCAGCCTTAGAGTATAATTCAAGCCTGATTCTGCCATTCTTTGCTGACTCTCCTCTTGCCAAAAGCAGAAATAGAAAGGATGTATGAATACATTTACATGATACACGATAGTTGTTTTATCCTCTGCTTAGCAAATCTCCCATAAGATCAGGCGAAAAACTTATGGCAAAAAATCTTTGCCTTTGCACTTTTTCCCACACTACAAAAGAGAGAAGCCACGAAAGTGCTTGGAATCCAGTTCTAAGAAGTCAAGATACAACATTTGTACTCATTACTCTGTTTCTTGCCTTGGCTTTTTCAATACATTCTACATGCACCTCTGTTATTTGGTTAACCTGTTATGTAGCTGCTTTATATTGTTCATGAGACATCAGTAGTGAGGAGAAAAGCTGCTGGTTATTCCATAGGTGTCAAGCAGACTAAGTCCACTGGAATCAAAGGACAAAAACAAAGCAGTAAACCAGGTTGTACCAGTGTCTCTCAGTCCAATAGTGACAGCTCTTAAAGCCAGAGAAGACTGGCTGTCCTGGGGTTTTTAGACCTATAGCCTTCTACAATGTGTATTTTTGTATGTGGCTGTGCATTGAAATTTGAAGCAGTAGTCTACCACCTCCACAGATAACCACATCCTGATTATTTGGATACCGGGACATAAAAATAAATGGCAAGGTTAAAAAAACATGTTTATTATGGTCTAAGGGCTGTGATGGTATTCATTCATCCCAAAGATCAAAGAGCCAAAAATAGCAACCGGTACACTAATAAAAATAAACATTAAGGCACCTGCAACACAAGAGACATTTGATTAACCAGTCAGAACTTGACGCCAGTGAAACTAGACGCAGAGGAAATTGTAAGAACTTAAAGTTCGGCTCTAGTTCCCATGGAAATCAATAATCAAGAAGCAGTGTCACTGGTTTAAAGAGGAGCAAAATTAAGTATGGCAAGATCCTGTTGTGCTAATTTTTACACACTGTAGTGACCAAGGTGGGAGAAAGATGCAGGTTTGTTCTCATGGAGCAGTCTACCTCTAAAACAGTGTTTTCAAAACTAAAGGCAGCAATAAGGACTACGCAAACGTAAACTGAAATCACACTGTCTTCTGCCAGCCTTGAACTTAGCTGGCCACCTTCAGCAATGTCACGGGACCTTATTTGTTCAAATCATTTGCTGCTTCTCTACTGCTTTAGCTCATCTCTTGCAATTGTGCAAGCAAAACGCCCTCTGCCAGAAGGGGCTTTTGCAAATGCATGTTTCCCTCTTAGCCACATATCTGGTTATTGCTTCACCCTATCCACATTTTACCTTGTCCGCTTCCAAGAGAGACCTGAAAGTAGGCTTGACTGTTTTTCTTATTGAAAGAGAATGAGCAAAGCTCTGACAACCACATAGACCGTTGCAAGATACACCCTGCCCACCTGGACTGAATTTCCCACCTTTTTACCCATTCTGAAAAGCTCTTCACCAACAACTTCACAGGGATAGGTCAAGAAACTGGGGTATTATTCCATATTGTCAGTATCTCAGGGTCTGGCCTGGTGTTATCTGACATAAAGTATGGTTCATCTTTCACTATATGTAATTGCAAGTCTGATATTCAGACAGATTTATGTGTTTTAATGATATTTTAGCTGAAAATGTGTCAAAATTCAAATTCCTCACATAATTAGGCATCTTTGCTACAAGTCCAATTGAAATACAATTAAAGATAAAACAGAGAACATTATTCTACCTTATCAAAGCAGGATAAACATTCAAAACTTTTTCTTAGGAATCTCTGCAAAGCCATTTTCCAACAAAAGATCACGAGAAAGCAAAATTCTTTACCAAACACAAACTATTCAGTCTCCAACATCAAACCAAAGGACTTAAAAAGATGTTTTTCTTTAAAGGAAAAAAACAAAAACCAAAATGACATCCTGAAGATAAGTGAGCTGAACAAATCCCAGACACTGTGTAATTCATCACCAAGCTCCAAACCCATTGCCTGTCAAAAATGGTAACAGCTGTCATTGTTCTTACTCATTTGAACTATCATATTTCACATTACTGTGGAGATTACTCCACTAGTATAAATCACAAGAGCGCTATTTTTCTTGCTGGCCTGTTAGCAAGAGAACTGAGGCAAGACATCATGCCTTGCACAGTAATCTTTCACATCTGCTGCCACCATATATTGATGACTGCTCTGCTAATCCTAGGAAAATCCAGACTGGGACATGTCCAAGCTCACCTACAAATGCCACCCTTGCTCTTGAAATGTGCACCATGAAGCTGAGGCCAGAGCTCCTCGGTCTTTGAGCTCTATGCTCCTGAAAAGAGCTGATACAAAGCCAGGGCCTGACTACCTCATGGGCACTGAGAAGCTCCTGGCAGCATCCAGTCCTTCTACTATGTGAACACAGTGGTGGTAATAGAGACCCTCCATTTCCTGTTACTCATGATTGTCTCTCATACCATGCAAATTCCAACCAGCTGAGGGAAACCACAGATGTGTCTGCAAGCCAGTTACTGATGCCATTGTCATAAAACTACCCACTGCCATATAAGAGAATATTAAACTGCTGCTACCTATCTTCATTAAATGTATCATTAAGTCTTATCATTGGCCTCACTGGGCATTGGACTGGGCATCTGATGGGAATCTACCTTATGGCCCTTAAAGTTATGATGAGTATTTCAACAAAAGAACAACTTACAAATAACTACATGCAGCTCTGAGTGCGGAAGCCAATGCTAAATTTGCCCTACTTTTAAAAGTTGTAGGATAGATCCTCTGAGCATATTCATAACCGCAAAACCAAAAATATGCCCATACCAGCAGTCTTAGTGACTTCAGAAACTCCTAAAGGACCTTTTTTTATCTCAAGTGTAACTTTCTAGCTATGGAAATATCAAAGAAAAGGGGGGAAAAAATCAAAACAAACCCCAAACTCAGAGAAAAAAAAAAGAATCCAGAAATAGGTTAGACTGGTATTTTCATTCTCATCCCACAGATGAGATATGGAGCACTTCTTACACAGTGCGTTCTAAAAAGGCAGTATGTAAGTTACTGAAGCAACATATCGAAGCGTGGGACCTTGTGACAAAATGAAACATAAGAAGGCAGGGCCAGGCACTTCCTATTATTAACAATGTGTTTTCTGGGGTAGGTTTAGATTTTTAAGCCACATCATGCATTTCATTAGACATATAGTACAGACACTGTAACTACTGCACTGAAAAATTCCCGCAATTTTCAGTGTCCCAACTATGTAGATAAATAGATGCTGGTAGGCTACATCTGATGTAACAAGAAAGAATTTATGAACTTATGCAAGAGGCTTAAGAAAGGCTAGTGATTTTCAGGAAATGTCTAGGTATTTGGGAGTCCCAAATGAAACACTATCTAGTATATGGTATTTCAAGGACAGGCTTACTCTCCTTCCTGAAAATGGGGTTCTTTAAAGGTTTCTCAAGAAAGCACCTCAGATTAGTCATCACTTTTGCAAGCTTTCATTTCAATGATTTCATGAACAATATAATGCTGTAGAATGTTACAGTAACAATATGATTTCCAGTGCTTGGTCCTAACTACTTATGTTTTCATAGCATCATGATAGTTAACCTAGCCTACCTTTTACTGCTGTCTCTTTTATAAATGCTGATTCAGCTATTGATAGTTAAGCTACTGGAAGAAGCAGATGTGGTCAGAGGATGTCTAAGTTTACAGATGTTCCTACCACCCATACTCAGATAAAACCCATGTATTCAGTGATGGTTTAGTCACTGAAGGGCCTGACTAGAATCTACATTAATCCTACTCACTGAAAGTTCAATATTTGTGGGAGAACATGAATCACACTTTTCATATGAAGAAAGGCTAAAAATGTGGCACCACAGTGTGGCACAACAGTTCCTATGCAGAGTACAGCAAGGGTACAAATGCTTGTGCCTGGAGATGATCACAGCCTTGTTGGTGAACATTCGTTTAATGGGAATGAGTATGAATTGGGAACAATTTAACTGAAATTCACAGAATGACACAAGTGGAAAAAAGTACTAAGGAAAAAACTCTCACTTCTTCATTTGGAATAAGGTGTACTAAACCAAATGGCTATGCAGAACAAACAAGGATGCTTTTCCTTAGAATTATCAGGAAAGAGACAAGTTGAACATCCTGCAAAACAGGATGTTCAAAAAATCTGTAGCTGAGTCCATAATAAAAAGGATTTTTTAGCAGCAAATTGTAGCAATTAAAAAACCCCAGCTAGTTTCAAGACTATAAAATCAGGAGACCAGGAAGAAGGAGACACAAACAAAAATGTTAAAATACATCCAGAAGCCTAAGGATTATTAAAGAAGTAGGATGTTACAAAGTATAAGAAAAAAGATCTTAATGAGAAGAGCTTATTTCCACCTTTCCTAAGTGAGATAATCAAGTGAGCTACAGTATTCTTGGTATGCATGATGGAAAACAAAAATATCATTGACAACAAACTCTCAACCTCAAATCATGTATATATTTACTGATTGAACAAGCCAGATTTTCTTAACATTCCTAATCACTTTTACCTTCACTTTTCTTCCTTCATCTTTATCATGAGAACTAGAAACTATTCATTGTTCATGTGTCTCCAGCATTTAAAACAAAAACTAGACAGCTTTAAATCAACAATCAAAATCAAGAAATATACTATATTTTTCTACATTCAGGAAAAAAAATCTCCACTCCAAACAACACTGGAGTGATAAATGGAAGTTCTTCATGCCTGGTATGAAGATTATATTATCGGAATAGGTTATCAATGAAAAGACTTAGGCCATTTAAAGGCTAGTTAAAATATGCTTCTATTACAAAGATATGCCTTCAAGATTAGCTCTTAAGAGACATGAATGGCATTGGAGTTTGTTAATAAGTGAATCATATATTAATGCTGATTTACTGGATAAACACTTTTAAACCTTTTTATCAAGGATATTAACAAAAGGAGAATAGTCAATTGCTTGGTGAAGGTACATTGCAAATGGAAATTAGAGATGAATCCGTTTCTTTGGATTGACTAAAAAGAAAAGGAAAGTTACAACCAGTTACAATTTTTGTCACAGTCAATAAGGAGAGTTCTCACAACTGTTATAACGTTCAAATTTTTAAATTTGCTGGGTAAAAAACCCAGAGGTGTACACCTTATCATTCACTCAAAAGGGCTTGAAAACCAAGCCCTAACCCACTGAACTCAATGATGTAGTTGGTATTTACAAATATCGAAGAACACCTGTTCCATCCAGTTATATTTTGCAGTTGTCCTACTATTTAAACCATAGCTTGGTTTGGTTTTGTCCTTTGCTTGTTTTTCATCATGACATTCAAAGTATTTTACAAGAAAAGTATGCATTTTGAGCTGCACTTTGAGTGCAGGAGAGCAAAGACTTAGATAAATGTAGTTCCTCTGCCCTAGACTTACTAAATGAATCAGTGGGCAGGGTCATAACATGTCCTCATGGTTCTCCCATTTCAGCTCTCTGCACTACCGTGAGAGGACTGTCATTTCATATTGGAAAGCCAAGTAAAGAAACACTAAAGGCAGTGTGTGCTTGTGCTTCAAAAACTAGTGGATCTGAACTCTACAGTAGCCTCTAGACATCTAACCGAAAGATTATTCACATGTATTTACTTGTATGACTCCAGTCTGGGAGGCAAAAAGAGAGAGTGAAATAGTTTTGAACCCAGAATGGAGAAATAACAATGACTATCACTGCATCAGAAACAGCCTTCATTTACAGTAGTACACAGCTGAAGTAACCAGATCACTGGATAATGATAATTACTCTGTTAGTGTAGGAATGTTATTGCAGGATTACTCTGTTACTGTAGGAATGTGACATAATCTGGCCCAACATTTATTTATCTAGTATAATCAAACTCTTTTGTACATCTACAAATCAATGAAAAAAAAATCTCCCTAGTTCAATTGTTTATCTTGTGTTTTACAACATATTCCATGCAGCAAACATGTCTACATGTATGGTATTTAGTAATGCAAAGAAACTATTCTGATTTAGTTCTTCAGGTTATTTTGAGAAGTAGCATGCATTTGACAGTAACACATACTGAGGACAATCCATAACAATAAAAATAGGCAGTAGTTTACATCTTCAAAACACTGTAAAAGCATGAAAGCAACTAGTCACTTTTGTAAAATAGTGATACATTTTGTTTAAATGCTGGCTGATTAGCTAAAGAAAATAAGTTTCCACTGAATGCTATTAGTTCAGTTTTAGTACCAAAAGTATTAGGTGACAGACATCTTACTATCTTAATCTCAAACTGGAAAAAGGAGCTGCAATTTTCCCTTGGACATGTGCATACTTTGTGCATGCCTGTTAATTTCAAAAATTAGAAAAAAAAATAAAAAGAAGAAAGCATAGAGGAAAAGAAAGCTCCTGTAAAGAAGACACACAAAACATGCCAAACTCATCTCTGTCCTCACTCGTCTTACCTTGCCTTGGATACAAGCAACTGCAACCTTAACAGTCCTGCTATGTTCTTCCCCCTAACTTATTCTTAATGTTCAGCTTTCTTTCAGAGTTTTTATAGTCTGTGCTGTAGGTTACAAACTCCAATCCCTGCCTTTGCTTTCTCTTACATCATTTCTAAAGATTTTCCACTGAGTCTTGCCCTAAACCTTTCTCTGTCTTGCACTCTCACACACATACTTGTCTCACATTTGTTCTATTTATTGCTCTGATCAAGATGATTAGGTAATAATTAAAGGTCTAGGGTACTTTTTTTCTTTCAGACTGCCATGGGAGTGGAAAGATTTTCAGCAGCATCACCATTCTTCTAAACTCTTTCTTCTGTGAGCTGCAGTAAAGAAACCTGACATCCTTCCTCCTTTTTTTTTTCTTTTTTTTTTTTTTTTTTTAAAAACTGTGCTTCTTCAGGATAACAGAAATAACTTCAGAGAGACAAAACTTATCTTAGGAAGAAATTAATTAGTGACTGTTTAGCAGACAAATAGTATTGCAAGATAAGCAGTAGAAACGGAACGTGTTTCACAAAGTAGTCACAAGAACTTAAGTCTTTCAGACACTTTATTTGTCATTTTAGTTACTGAAACTATTGTAAAGAGTGAGTTTTGGAAGTATCTTCCCTAGGCACTATGAGAGTATCCACTTCTTTCTCTGTTTGCCTGTATACTAGAATAAGTCTGTCTTCTGCCCCTTTTTCCTCATTTCTCAAGTGATTCACACTGCAATTTTACTCATTTTTACATCTAAAATTCCAACCTGTGCAGACTTCTTAATAGTTTATTCATGATGCCTTAATTCTCTAAACAGATTATAGATACAGTATTTTGAACATAGCTTTTACTCTGACTTTCCAAAAGCTGTTCTACAAGAAATAGATATTAAAAATAAATTTCATATGTAGCTTTGTATTATGTGGTTAAAATTTGCCAGCCCAGGAGCAAAATCTTTTACTTCATCGTCTGTCTCAGAGTGATGAGAAAAAGAAGAATAAGACAACATTTTAATCATATTTTAATGCAATTCATTTCCCAAATGAAGTCAGCAGCAGAATTTGGGAGAATGACAGCCTGGTTTTGATCACAAAAACAGCACAAATGTACAGCTCCAGAAAACAATGAAAGGAAAAGCAAGTATTTCTACAGCATCTCCTTGTACAAGCAGATACATGAGTATGGCCTAGTCTTGTGAAAATGTGCACAAGCCACTCACACTGAGGTCAGGCTGGAGCAGGTGGGTTGGAACTGTTTTTGGCTATAGGACGTAATAGAGCAGTAATGGCAGCAGAAGAGGTCCAAGTGGACACTACGGATACTAAAGCCGCATCAGAATAAAAGTGCAGAGCCAAACAACTCCACACTCATGAAACACAGCTCAAACCACTGTCACCAGAGGAGAACTGGAACTGTGCTCAGTTTTATCATGCTGCCTGCATTTAGATGGAGGTTTGATGCTGGAAGTCCAAAGACAGAGCAGTACTTGACTGGAGAGCGGGATCTCGGGAAAAAGATAGCCACGATATAACTAAGTACAAGGTATTTAAATTAGATTAATCAGCTGCCTTTGATGTATTTGACCGTGAGGTGTTGCTGACTACGAACTGTGCTCTGTCCACTTAGCAGTTTCTTTGTTTCTTTTTCCTGTTGGAAAGACATTAGGAAGCAGTCACAAGCATTTACTCCTCTTGGGGAACCTTTTACAGGAGCTATCTCAAGCTCTTTACCCAGGATTTTTGTAGGGCTCCATTCTGCCACCATGTTTGGTGTTGATGAGGCTGAGAGGAGCAGCAGGAGACATGGGCTGTGCCAAGCTGAGGAAAGACAATGGAAGGCTCATAACTTGTCCATTTTGATACTTGGCAACATAGGGTGAAGCCTGGAGGATAAGTGAGATCCAGCTGGCTGGAAGCTCAGCGCATCACAAGAGAGAGGGGGACACTGGGTTGGGGAAAAGCAGGGAGAGGAGAAATGCTGACATGTTTTTGACTCCAAGAGGATATCTACTAGCAGGTACTAAAATTTACATTCAGGCCCTCCACTGATTGATACTATAGCAAAGCCCCAGTAACTTTTGTATCATCTAGACCTACTGAGAGGTTGTGGCTCTTCCTTTTAGACAAGTTGTTCAGGATTTTTCGAAATAAATTTATCACTGTGCACCTTCTACAGAACTATGCAACCTAAAAGATTTCAGAAACGTATGCTGATACACACCTCTGTCATCAAGTTTCTAACTGGAAGGTGTGGAGACTCAGATCTGAGTAACCAGCCATCTTCATGGGCTGCAACAAAGCTCAGAACAGGTCGTATGTTATCAGCACACAAGGCTTTTCTGAAAAAAAAAAAAAAAAAGGATGCACAGTAAATCTTGGACTTCACCTACTTAGATTTATTTAGCAACAATTTACAGATGCCTTTTTGACACCTTATGGAGAAGGCTGATAAGGAAGCTTCCCAGACAATGAAAATGGTGTATGATGGTTACTTAGCTGGCAAAGTGCCCAAGAAACGGATGCCCTCCATGCTGCCGTGGTTTAATTGCAGTTACAATAAAATTAATTAAGTTAGGGCAACCAAGAGTTGGAGAAATCTTTACTGTCTTAAACATAAATGAATAAACAAATTGCATATGATTTTCTCAAATATGAAGACAAAGATGGAAATGGGGGGGAGGGAAGGATACAAGACATTGAGCACTCTTCATTACCATCCAAGAGAAAGACAAACTTTCCTGCCTGTTGCCTTCATGTTCTTTAAGTACCTTCTGTAACTCTTCACCATTAGTTTGCAAATTAATTACACAGGCTCAATTCTTCCCTTAATTCCTTTTTAGTCTTGCTTGTAAAACAAATGCATAGGGTTGTCATTTTTTCTGACACTTTGCAATTTTACAGACAGTGCATTCCACTGCTTTTAATACTTCATTGGCATTTGATGTGTTAACCTCTAGGTAGGGTGACTGCCAAATAGGGTACACAAAAATTTCATGCTTGAATGTCCTACAAATCTCAGAACTCAATCTGTGCTCAAAGAAGTCGAGAGGAGCTGGATGGGGCCCTCAGCATCGACTGGAACACAGAGTTACTAACCTACCACATAGCATAAACACATGTACTTAGCCTCTACTGCCTTCAAAGGTTTCTCCTCAAAAAGTTATGCACAGCCCTAACCCCATTCTGACTTCTACCATCATCTCCCTTCTCTCCTATCAAGTGTACATGCCACGAACATTTAAGTCCTCTCTGCTGAAATCAGCGTCTAGCTGCCTGAGCACACAATGAGCCAGAACTTGGCCTTCGTAGACAAGTCCTTATTCAACATTAAAACACAATTGGCCTTCAGTAGACAAGTCCTTATTCAACATTAAAACTGGAGATAGTAACGGTTAACATGTGTAAATGCTGAGTAATCTTGCTCTTCATCAGCCTTGCTTGTAGAAACTGTTTTTGCATTTTTAAATCATGATCTTTAAAATCGTAGGCACGGCAGGTGAATATGCTGACACGTGCTTGCTGGTTTGCTGCATTTAGTCTTTTTCCTCACCTACTAAAATGTGTAGCAACACTGTTAGATCGCTGTGATCTAAGTCAGAGAAGTCTACCCTTTCTGTCATTAAGTTCTCTCAAGGGAACTCTACCTTCCAGTCTCTTCAAATTATGTCATCCTTCCCATTGACCACTAATTACTCAAACAAGGTCACACATCTATCATTTATAAATCACCTTGTGCAGTGCCAAGTCTAGAAGGCATTACGGACAAAGAACTAGATCTTATTTTCAGATTGGAATTTTTGGTTGAACTGTCATGGACAAAACTATATAATTTGATATATTCTGATTGTTAAGAATGATCATAGTTTCAGTAAACAATGAGTTTATTGTAAAAAGTACAGTTTGATTTTGGGTTTTTGGTGGTGGTGGGGGGGAATGGTTATAACATTGAGGTTGGAAAAAAGTGATTTTTTTTTTCCTCAGGGTTTTCAATGTATTACCCTCAAATTCTCAAAAGTATTCCAAGAACCTTTTTTTCTTTTGAAATAAAAACTACAATATTTTTTGTTAAAAAACTGATCTCCACAAGTCAGGTGCTCTGCTGGCACTAATTCATATGGCTCTGTTTAAACAATTGAGATATTCAGGCTTACAGTGCCTCCAGGCCTATTTTTATTTTGTGAGACAATGAATTCTTCTGAAAAAAAATTGGCCCAATTCTGACCATTTGAAAGTGGATTAGCATTCCATCAGATTTACCAAACACCCAGCATTTTATAGCGGTATCACTGGTTGAGGGAGAACATCCAATATTACTTTTGTTGTACTTATGTTCATATCTTGGCTAAGGAAGGGGAAACATTTTAAAATAACCACCGCAGATTTTCAGTCAATATATAGGATGGAATTTCATAAAGCAAGCTGATTTTCACCTTTCTTTTTTATGTAGATATACAGAGCCAGAGAGCAGATGACTCACTGCAAGAGAGAACGATGGAAAATAGAGACCCTGTAATAACAATGTGCATTCATGTTTTCCAATTAAAGATACATTTTACCTCGGAAGGAAAAGCTATCTTAAGCTAGATATTTTTAAATCTGCATGCTCTCAAACTAGCTTTTGCTGTGTCACTTCCATTTAAGATGACTTCTTGCAGCCACAAAGATTTTGAGAAGCAAAACCCTCAAAGTGAAGGTAACATACGAAACTGAAGTCAGTAACATTCCTCAGGAACGCTAGGCTTTCTATTTAGCAGTTTCTATATATGCACTTTTAAAAAGTCCTTTGCGCTTGAATTAAGTGCTTGTGATAGGAACTGGGTCATGACATCTAAGAATCCATAAAAGAACACCAGCTAAACAAAGCAAAAATCCCAAACAAGGATAGCTCATTGAAATGCGGGCTTTTTCTGTAACAGCCGTGCTATGATGCAGAAGGCTGTGTTTGGAAATAAAAAAACCCACAGTTTATCTTTTGTGCTCAAGCTTTTG